ATATTTTCAGTTGTCCAGATCATTTCTTTCTATTTTTTAGTAGAGACGGGGTCTCGCTCTTGCTCAGGCTGTTCTCGAACTCCTAACCTTGAGCGATCCACCCGCCTCAGCCTCCCAAAGTGCTAGGATTACAGGCGTGAGCCACCACGCCCAGCCTTAATTTTTAAATTCTTTTTGTAGAGATGGGGTCTTGCCATGTTGCCCAGGCTGGTTTCAAACTCCTGGGCTTAGGCGATCCTCCCACCTTGGCCTCCCAAAGTGCTGGGATGCCAGGCGTGAGCCACCGCACCCGGCCTTGGAATGATTTTAGATATACAGAAAAGTTGCAAAGACAGCGCTGGGTCTCCCCATCCACCCCTCACCAGCTGCCGCTCTCCACAGCATCTCGAATAACCACTGAGCGTTTGTCACAGCGGGGCAGTTAACATGGGGACGTCACCGCCCACGGCCATAAACTCCATTCCACACTTTATCCGGATTTGATCAGTTTCACCTCTCCAGCCCTGTTTCTGTTCCAAGCTCCAATCTCGTGTCGCATTTAGGGCTTTCGTTTTGTTTTGTTTTTCTTAACTTCTTATTTTCAAATAATTTCAGGCTTATAAAAACGTCGCACCCGGATTCTTTTGCAGATGTGAACATTTTACCACATTGCTTTTATTACTTCCCTCTTTCTCTCTCTCTCTCTAGGTAGATAGACACATATAGATACCCTATGTATACTTTATATAAGCATGTATGTGTATACTTATCATTTATATAATGACGATCATCTCTGTAACTTATTTATGATACATTTATATATTTACTACACACGTATACAGTTTTTTCTGAACCCTTTGTGAGTAAGTTGCAGGCCGGATACCCTTTTGCCCCTAAATGTTCAGTGGCTTTGAGTGCCGCCAAAAGCAAGAACAGCAGGACCTCGATGCAACGCCATTGGCTGGCAGGACACGCGCCCCCAGCCAGCCTGCGGGCTCGGGTCCCATTTTGCCAGTTTCCCAAAATTCCCTGCGGTTGTTCTAATTTATAGCAAGAGAAACATCTTCTTCTTGACCTCCCAGCCCAACAGACTTCACCTCTGGGGAGTCTAAGGCTCGCCCCAGACCCGCCCACCCAGCCCT